TATGAAGCTCAAATGAGATAACGAATTACTAAATGAATGAATGAAACAAATGAATGAGAAAGCATTTATTGAGCATGTAATATGTGCTAAGCACTCTGGATAAAAACAGAAAAAGCTAGACAGTGTCTATTCTCCATCAGCTCATTCTCTAAGGGAAAGAATACACAGAAGAAAATTTCAATGAAAAAGGCTACTAGGCCTCAAAGTGTATGAGAGAGGCAGATGCCAAAGCCCAAGAGTCCTTAGATTGTGGTAGTACGTCAGATGACAGTGGTGGTATGGTACTTTCTACTGGCCCTATTGATCACATCAGTCAATACTTAAAGAGGTCAACTCAGACCATTCATTGGAAGGAAAAATACTGAAGCTGAAGCTTAAATACTTTGACCACATAATGAGAAGTTAGGAGTTATTGGAAAAGACCCTGAAGGGAAAGATTGAAGGCAAAAGGAGAAGGGGATGGCAGAAGATGAGACGGATTGATAATGCCATGGAAGCAAAGAACATTAGTTTGGACAGGCTTTGGGAGATAGTAGAAGATAGAAGTGCCTGATGTGATATGGTCCACAGAGTCATGAAGAGTTGGACATGAATGAACAACAACTGGTCAGAGAGGTAGACAGATCAGATGTTAAGGCCTAGTGATGCTCCATCTTACTGAAAGGAATACATCTCATCCGAGCCATGTAAACAGCTAAAGTAGCCAGAAGAGGTGGCAGGAAGGAAGGCAAGTAGCATAAGGCTGCCTCCACTGGTGACAGATCTTCTCAGCGCCTGGGCTCTGGAATAGCTTGGAAATGATGAAAGGGGTAAAGACAGAAGGCTCCAGAAATGGAAGCTATTAATGCTAAAATCCAGTCCCTCATAGATATAATCTATCTGACAGCTTATTTCTTTCCTCTGTTCAGATACACATTAAAATCTGGATAAATACTAACATACCAATTTCCTTAAGGGACTTGACTCTTTAAAGCGACCACAATAAAGGGTCTATAAAAGCAGGGACTAGTCTACTTTTCTCTTTTTATCTCTAGCACCTGGCACATCATCTAACACATAGTGGGCAGTGAGGAAAGGCTCAATGGATTGACTCATTATTCCTGAAACAAACTGGAAGGAAAGAAGATAATATCTGAATGAAATTACATTTATCTTATCTAGAAGAGTTCTCTCCACACACCCCTAACCCATGCTAATATGAACAATAAACCTAAGAGGTAGGGTTCCTGTGAGAATCAAATGAGTTAATATACGTAAAATGCGTTGGAAACCTTAAAACACCATAAAATGCTATCATCATCATTATTATTACTACTACTAATTACTATTATTATTTATAAGATGTTTAGTTTCAATATAAAGGCAAAACACTGATTACACTGTTATTAAGCAAAAAAGAAGTTTCCATAACCTGGGATACAAGGCTAAAAAATGGACCATCACAAAGCTTGAGAGTGCTTCTCACCTTAGTATGGCCATTGAGAATCCAGAATCACCTCCACACCACTATGGAACACTGAAGTTGATTTTCATTGAGTAACAAATTAGTAACACCAATAGAGAATGGATAGGGCACTTGAGAGTTCTTGAAGTGATTTCCCATAGATAGAGTATCTCATTTAATCCTTCTAATAACAATCTTAGGAGGTAGGGAAGGCATATACTATTTGTCCTACTTTACAGAGGAAGAAATAGAGGCTTAGCAAGTTTAAGTGACTTGCCCAAGGTCACTCAACTAATGAGACAGAGTAGGGATTTGAACTCAGATCTCAACTTGTGATTCAGTGTTCTTTCTACTCTCCCTGCAGTCTCAGGAAGAAATTGATAATCAATTCACATAATAGTAAAACACTTGAAGTGAGAGGTCACATGTCACAGTAGAAATAGAAAGCACATGAGACCTGAAGTCAGAGGATTTTAATACAAAACTTAGCTATTTTTTCTATCCCCAGTATGAATTAGAAAAATTACTTTTCAGATCTAGGCCTCAGTTTCCACATCTATACAATGAGTGGGTTGGAGGAGGTGATCTCTAAGATCCCTTACAGATTTAAACCCTATGATCCTACAAATATTTCCACATCACTCACTTGCAGTGAAAACCCTCTTCTAATCAATTTACTGGGCTTTTAGTAACTCTACTCTCAACACAGGAAAAAGGGAGATTCAGACTATATTCAATTAAGAAGATCTTGGACAAAAGTTCCTGTTGATATGGGTGTTTTAGTTTCAGCACATTAATTAATTCTGAGCAAGAATGCCTTGCTCAGAAGATGACACTTATGATTGTGATAGAATAAGTTATACTTTCTCATCAAATGTCTAAGTATTGATATAGGCTGCTATTTTATGCTAAAAGAAAATTCTCTTTTCATTAACAGGATACCTATCCTTATCATTCAAATGAGGTACAGTGTACTAGGTATAAAGTGGCAGAATGGTTTAGTAGATAGAGGGCTGGTTTTGAAGCTAGGAAGACCTAATTTCTCCTGCTTTTAACACAGATTAGTTTTGTGTGGAAGAGGCAAATCACTTTATTTCTCAGTATCTCCAGGCAACATTTTAAACCTATAAATGGTAGCACAAGTCCTGATACATGTTTGACTTGGTAGAGGAAGATTGCTCATTACAAATTCTGTATGCCAATAAAATCAGCAGTCCAATCTTTAAAAAAAAGAAAAAAGTTATAAAAAGGCAGCATGGTTTAGTTCAGTGGTTTTTAACCTGGGATCTGAAAATTGAATAGATTTCATGGTGTCTGTGAATGCAGATGGAAAAAAAAACACATATATGTGTATATACACACACACTTATATCATACATACACATGCATACATACATATGCAAATATGCACACATGCATATGTACACACATATTTATATATAAATATAAACATACACATAAATATATATATACATATATATCCATGCACACATATCATTACTATCACTAAACTTTGGTTTCTTTTGCTATTCTATAGATTATGTGAGTTTTAAAACAGCACTACACAAATGGAGTCCATAGGTTCTTTCAGACTGCTGAAGAGGTCTAACACACACACACACACACACACACACACACACACACACACGTAAAAAAAGCCCAGTGAATAGAAGACTAGTCTTACATGAACTTAAATTTGGCCTCTCACATACATTAGGTGTTGACCAATGGGCAAAAAAGCTCTCATTGCCTCCTGGAAACTCTCCCAGACTTAGAGAGGAGTCACCATCATGCATTGATGGAGGCAGCATCCACACCTGGCATTCACTCCATTGATGAAATGACAGGCCCATAAGAAAAAAAATAAAAACAAAAATGGCTAATAACTCAAAAGGGAAGTCCCCTTTGGGCAATTAATCAGTCTGATAACACAAGCATGCAGGTACTGGCATTAATTTCATAAATATGCAGTCAACCAATTGAATCCTTACTTGTGCTTTCAGGTGGTATCTCTCTTGGGTGCATTGTAAAACAAGTATGGTATGAAAGTCACAAATTAACACAGAGTGAAGGAACTCAACAAAAACTGCACAGTCTACTTATTCTCAGCTAGTTTTGCATTTCCTTATTATGCGGCTGAGAAAAGATGAGCCCCCCCTCGCCAAAAAAAAAGAGTCTTTGTAGATGCCATTCTAGCTAACGATAATCCCATGCCAATTGTCAAAACTGTCTGGGAAATAGTTCTTTTGTTTTTCTAAAAGTAGATTTCTTTTTAAATTGGTAGATGCACACTAACCTTTGCCATCAACCTTTTTTAGAGGTAATCTCCAGAATTACAAATCCATCTCTCAAAAGGAGGCACAGTAAGTATTATGGGAATGTTGTCTTCATTTAGGATTGAAGCAAGAGCTTAATGGAATGGAAATACTGAGTATATCTAGTTTAAGAAGGAGAAAGGAAGGAGTACATTTTTTGCTAACAGAATGAAATAATGTCTTTCAAAGAATAATAATTATCATTTATGCAATATGATAACATTGCATTTTCCCTTGAAGTAACAGAAGAGTTTTATGTCTCTAAAGCAAAAAGGACCTCTGGGACAACATATTCCATCCCACTTACTTTACAAAATGGTGGAATGGATTGAGGACTAGACTTGGAGCCAGGAAGCCTTGGGTACAAGTCCCATCTTTGTAACATTAGCTGTGTGACTCTGAGTGGGTCACTTAATTTCTCTGAGCCTCAATATCCTCATCTGTAAAATGGCAGGGGGAGTGAGGAGAATAATACTAGGTGACTTGTAAGGTCCCCTCCAATTCTAAGCTTATTACAGATGAGGAAACTGAGGCCTAAGGTGACTTGCCTGTGGTCACAACAGTGTCAGAGACAAGATTTGAAAGGAGGTTTTCTCAGTTCAGAGGCATCCTCTGCACCACATCAATTAACTTAAAATTGCCTAAGAGAGCTGGCATGGTTTCATGGCTAGCGTGAGCCTTCGAACCAGGAAGACTTGGGTTCAAGTCCCAGCATGTACTGACTATGTGACCCTGAACAAGTCACCTAACCTTTCCATGTTATATAACCTGAACCGTGTTATCGGTAACTCTCTGACCCTAAGTTGCTGACCTGCATTGGTGGAGGGTATTTCCATTCTCAGGAGTTCTTTATACCAATGAAATCATAAATTCAGTCCCTTTCCTCTCCTAAGCTTCTGTAAAATGGTTGGCTTGCTCTTTTATCTGTTTATAGTCTGAGTGACAAGCTTTTAAAATGGTTCGGTTGCAAGTCAAAGATTGAAGTCTTGAAAGAAGATGTGTGGTTTCAGCATGAAGTCAAAGCATTGATTATGAGGTTATTAAAAAAAAAGTTTTCATAGCCTGGGTTATGAAGCTTAAAAAATGTACAGTCACTAAACTTTCACCAGAGGTCAAATAAGCAAAACATATCTTCATGAATAATAATGGAGAATGTCGAAAGCACAAGAAATAGCTCTCTCAAAGTCAGGTCTTCAGGCATTAAAAGGTAGCAGCCAAATGAGATGCCAAAGGATACTCACCTGAGCATGTGGGCTGCATTGAAGACAACGTCAAATTCATGGCTGTCCAGTTCTGCTGCTTTCTGGGCCATCTCAGCTGCCTCCATGATCCGAGCTTCTTCTAGAAGGAATGGGCCGGGGGGGGGGGGGAGACTTGGTGAGCTACAAGAAGAGAACCAAATTCAGAGCAGCAGCACAGCTGCTGAAGTCAGAAAGACCTGAATGCAAATCTGGCCTCACATACTTACTAGTGGTGCGACTCAGGACAAATCACAACCTCTGTTTGTGTAGGAGGCAGCTAGGTGGCTCAGTGGATAGAGTGTTGAGTCTAGAGTCAGGAAGACTGGAGTTCTAATCCACCCTCAGACATTTACTAGCTGCTTGACCCTGGGCAAGCCACTTAACCTCCGCCTTAATCTCCTGGAGAAGGAAATGGCAAACCACTCCAGTATCTTTGCCAAGAAAACTCCATGGAGAATATTGGCATACTATGATCCATGGGGTCACAAAGAGTCAGATACGACTGAATGATTAACAAAGTACAGCTGCTACTTGACAAAGTATCATAACCAAGCTATCTTTCTGTAAGATGGCTTCCTTGGTTTTATACTGGCACACTATAAATTACCTATACACATTGATGATGTGATCAAAGTTATTTGACTTTTACATTCATGATTAATGTAGAAATATATTTGTCAGTCTACATTTCTTTTTTTATTAACACCTATGCCTTTCCAAGGCAATGCAATCCATAAAAATAAATCAAACCTATCTTCTGAAATGTATTACAAATATAAATGGTATTGACTTTCTTTACTATTAAGCCCCATCATGAATAATTTCAGAAAGCTGCTTCTGATCCATGCACTAGTGAATGAATACAAAGCAGAAATTAATCAACAGACAAGTATTTATTAAGTGCCTACTAAATGCTTGTTGTCTGACTGATAGACTGGGAGGTTCTGTGCCATGGTGGACCCAAAGAGCTGGTCTCCAGATCATAAAGATCAAGGTTCAAGTTGCATCTCAGACATTTCCTGGTTGTGGGGATCCTAGACAAGTTGCTTAATATCTCAATGCTCTAGGCCTGCTGTGTTGAACTCAAACAGAAATGGGGCCCACTACATACATACAGACCCCTGCTGGATGCATTTTGAGTTAGAAAACCACATATTACCATGATCTCCATTCTAGTATATGTTTCTTTATTTTGTTAAATATTTCTCAATTTCATTTTAATCCAGTTTGGATAACCCTAAGAATGCTTTGACTCCTCTGATCTAGGCAACTCTCTAAGACTATCAGTTTCATGGAAGGTGATGAATTGCACGGGGGTTTCTCATCCGAGAGTTTCCTAGACCAAAGAAATCTCAGGTCTAGTCTCTATTCCGATCCATATTATGTACCAGGCACTGTGCTAAGAGCTGGGGACACAAATAATAAAAGACTGGGGAAAAGTAGGCTTGAAAATTGACTTTTACATTCATGATTAATGCAGAAATATATTTGTCATCTTACATTTGAATTAGTGAATTGAAAGAGATAACTCATGATGTGCAAATCAAAACAACTCTGAGCTACTACCTCACACCTGTCAAATTGGCTGACGGAAAAAGAAAATGACAAATGTTGGAGGGGATGTAGGAAAATTAAAACACTAATCTACAACTGGTGATGTCGTATACTGATTCAACCATTCTGGAGAGCATTTTGGAACTATGTCCAAAGGGCTATAAAACCCTCTGGCTAAGCAATACCACTACTAGGTTTGTATCCCAAAGAGATAAGAAACTAAAAGGAAAAGGACTTATGTGTACAAAAACATTAAAAGCAGCTCTTTTAGTGGCGGCAAAGAATTAGAAATTTAGGGGATGTTCATCAATTGGGAAATGACCGAATGAGTTGTGGTAGATGATTGTGATGGAATACTGTTGTGCTTTAAGAAATGATGAGCAGGACGTTCTCAGAAAAACATGGAAAGACTTCCCCAAACCAATGTAAAGTGAAATGAGCAGAACCAGGAGAACCTTGTACACAGTAAGTGCAACAGTGTGATGATCTGCTCTGAGTAACTTAGCTATTCTCAGCAATACAGTGATCCAAGACAATTCTGTAGGACTTTTGATAAAAGGTGCTATCCATCTCCAGAGAAATAACTAGTAAAGGTTCAATGCAGATCAAAGATACCTCTTCTTTATTTTTTTTTATTTTTACTGATTTTTTAAAGTCTGTTTTCTTTCACAGCATGACTTACATGGAAATGTGTTTTGCATGACTACATACTAATTTGACTATGTCAAATTGTTTGCCTTCTCAATGAGAGAGGGGAGAGGATAGAGGGAGAGAATTTTTAACTCAAAATTTGAAAAAAAAAAAGAATGTTAAAATTGTTTTTACATGTAATTGGGAAAAATAAAATCTTATACATGGGTGGTGGAGAGAAAGAGATAACTCAAACCAGGTTAGGCCAGTCCAAAAATACTAGATTTCATCTGATCATGGAAACTTAGTAGGTGAGGTTTGGTGGGTGCTTGAATGGAAGATTATTGGGAAATACTGGGTGCTGTAGGTTTGAGAAGAAGTATGCTGAAGGAGAAAAAACTTTGGATTTGGACTCAAGAGTTCCAATTCCAACTTAGTTAAGTCACTTACCTACCTGAGCCTCAGTTTCCCCATTTGTAAAATGAAGGGCTTAGACTAGATGACTTCTGTGGTCCCATCCATTTCTATATCTGTGATCCTATATACAACTGAATGACCTTAGACAAGTCACTTAACCTGTCTGTGCCTCAGCTTCCTAATTTGTAAAATGGGTCTATGGGCTGAATCAGATGCTGCCTAATGTCCCTTAAAGCTCTAAATTTAAGATCCTAAAAACTATAATAAATTCAAATGTCTTTTATTCGCTATCTTTGAGATTAGTTTAGTTTTCCTGGACTTTGTCATTTAGATTCAACTAGAATTCTGCATTGAACTACATGAATTTTTTAAAAATTATTTCAGGGGAATTAATGAAAAAACAAAGAAAATAGATCAAAGTGGGAACTAACAGAAAGAATCTCAATTTCAAGCATAATCCATCACTCATATTCCAATCACTTACAAACCCAGATCACTGCCTAGAACACCAGGTACTGCCTTCCTGACTGCTGGACTCTTTATATATTGCTCCTATAGTCATTTTCCCCTGACAACAGTTGCTTTGCTTTAAATATTGAATAATATTGTAATCATAACAAAAATGGTGATTCTAATGATACACTGGTATCATTGGGAGTTGGGGGAGGGAAGGTTTTTTTGCTTGTTTGTTTGTTTGTTTTTTGTATTTTTCCAATGATCAAGCCTTCATCACTACAGAAACCCAATTACCAACTACTCTTTCTGCACAAAATGACTCATTCAAATTTCTCCCCTTACTCACCATCCTTGCTGTTGTGAAATGAGAAAGAGGAGAGGGAAAGACTTTATTTAAAAGATTGATCACAAAGGTACAATCATTCTGAATATTCTTAACTTTAACTAGTAGAAGAGCCCAGAATAAAGATAAGCAAGGACCTTCTCAAATTGGGATATGACCTTTTCTTTAGGCATCAACTGAGGGACACCCAGGACTTAGGGACCCCCCAGCTATCCCTCCAGCAGTCCTTATGTTCAATATTTTAGAGGTGAGAAAACCTCATACAAAAAAAGATTGGAAAAAACACACAAAAAATTGCATATTTACATAGACCAACCACATGGTTATGGTGCTGGAATTACAGAGTACACTGATAGAAATAAAAATAAGCAGAAAGCCAAATGTTAGCCTATTTATTATTTTTAAGAGTTTTCTTTAATCTCATTAACTTCAAGGATATCAAGTTAAAAGAATTCTTTGGTTAGTTGTATTTCAATTTTGTTGTTTTTTTTTGTTTTGTTTTTTTGTTTGTTCAGTTGTGTCCAACTCTTCCTGACCCCATTTGGGGTTTTCTTGGCAGAAATACTGGAATGGCTTGCAATTTCCTTCTCTAGCTCATTTTACAGATGAGAAAACTGAGGCAAATAGGGTTAAGTGACTTGCTCAAGGTCACAGTGTCTAGAAAGTGTCTGAGGCTGGATTTGAACTCAGGTCTTCCTGACTCCAGTTCTGGCCCTCTAGGCACTGTGCCACCTCACTGCCCTGTATTTCAGCTGGTTATCTCTATTAGGATCTAGAGCTGGATGACTCCAGAAGGCAGAGAACATCTAACCCAAACCTTCATTTTTATAAATGAGGAAAACATGCTATAAATGACTTGCCCATAATCATACAGCTAATAAGTGCTGAAAGCAGAATTTTGACTCCAAATTTGACTCCAAATTAAGTGTTCTGTCAACTATCTCAGTCTTCTAAAATCATTTTTCATGACACATCATCTATACATAAGTTAATTAGTTGTAAAATCAGGAAAGGAAAGCTTGCAACAGTAAAAAGAAGATTGTATTCAGGTTCAAGAGACCTGAGTTAAAATCCTGGCTTCCCTGCTTACCAGGTAGCACAGTGGATGGAAAGTGGGAATTAGAGTCTAGGAGATGAGTTCAAATCATCCTCTGACATTCACTAGCTGTATAACTCTGGCAAGTCACTTAACCTCTGCCTGCCTCAGTTAAGTGGGGATAATAATAGCACCTACCACCCAGGGTTGTCACAAGGAGACAATGATGTAGCATTTGGAAAGTGCTTTGCAAATCTTAGAGCATCCATGTAAATGTGATCACTACTGCTGCTTGGGTCTGGTTGGATAAGTTGCAGCTCCTTAAATGTCTGCATTCTCTCAATGAGAGAGATGACCTCTAAGGTCCCTTGCAGCTTCAGATCTTTGATGCTCTGACTTTCATCTCTATTTTAAGTACAAATGTTCTAGTTTCTATCACGCTTATTTGGAGAGAGGGGGGGAAAGAATATAAAAATGGTAAGCAATGTTATCCTGTTGTAAGAATTGTTTCATCAAATTAATAAATGATGCCATAATTCTTTCCCTCTTGTTCCAAATCAACAAACCAATGTGAGGAGATGTTATTTCAATAGAGTAAAACATTATTTTCTTGCAATGCTGTCTACTCTCATTTTTTTCGTTTGTTTGTTTAGCAGGTTTTACGATTTGAATTGGAAGGG